AGCTTCCAGATCGTTGCTTGTAATGAACCAGAGGAAGGCCGTAGATTCTGTGAGCCCATGAATATAGCTCTGTATTGGACAAACTAGGGATGTGAGCATGGTGCTAGCATACATGTATTTGTACAGCAGTCGTATTGGTGAGTGTGAGGTGATCTGGCTGGGCTAGAGAGGAGGGTATCTTGGTGTGGTGAGGCAAAACTGGCAACAGGAGAGCAAAACAGGGTGAATCGCCAGTAACGAGCTACATCAGTCGTCTCCATTAGTATATTTTGTGTACTGTTCCAAGCTGAAGGTACTCGGATCCATTTCTGCGGTACATTCATGGATAGGAATACCCTTAGACAGGAATAAATTGGAGGCTCAAAACGCTATGCCTACCGAGGGGATCGTCTGTATCGGTTCGCTGGTTGCTTTGATGACGGCGTCAAAGTACAAAACAACTGTCCCATCTAGTGCTCCCCCATGTGTCGGACCGGAACGAGAAAAAACGCTGCAGAACGTGAGTTTTGACATGTTGACTCAGCGACTGTACCCGGCTCAGATCATATTCGACGTGAAGTCTTGCAGCAACGAACAGAGAGAGTTATAGTAGTTGTGAGATAAATGCTTCACCAACGTGCATATACTATCGTACAGTATTCTAGATCAATTGAAAGCGAAGGTGATGCTGCGCCATTTCTTGACGTGTGAAGGATTCAGCAATGTCTGCGAGGGTATTCGTCTACCATCTCGGAGTGCAAATCTGACCTCGCTCTTGTACAAGGACTCGTTCGCCTGAACAAGTTGCAACGTCTCGACAAACTCCATGCTTTCGCTTTTGCTACTGCTCACACCGCATGGTCAACCTTGTGTCGAAGATACAAATGATAGCGACCACAGTCTTTGCATTCGACCACCCGGTTTTAATGTCGTTTGTCGATCAGCAAAGAGATGATGTTCCAATCACAATAACTGCGATGGTTTGTTTGTCTTGGAGATTGAGCATCTTCCAACGACAATTCATTCTTGAACTCATCAACAAGTGAACAAGCAAGATGAAATTCCTCTCGTCCACGATAGTGCTCGCGCTTGTGGTCAGCGCTGCCCACGGTGGGCAGATGATGAGACAGAGCTCTAAGCCAAAATGCAACGCCAAAAACAAAATCCCTTCGACCTCCACGAGTACTGCCGGTTCCAACAGCCAACAAGGGCCAAGCACATCGAGTCAAACTGGCCAAAGCGGCTGGACGCAAGCACCTTCCACGGGATCCCCCACCCAGCAATGGTCCAGTGAAGAAGGTTCCAGTGCTTCAACGCCTTCAGCGGGATCCAGTCAATCCACACAGCAGCAGCAGCAATCGTCGACCGATTCGAGCCAAGCGACGCAGCAACAGACCTCGAGTGATTCCAGTCAATCGACTCAGCAGCAATCGTCTACTGCTTCAAGTGGTGCTGCCTCTACTTCCACTGCGTGCACATTGACTGGTACCTACTCCAAGGGAGCCGACGTATCATCATGCAAGAGCATCGTGATCAAAGATCTGAGTGTACCAGCGAGCACTACACTTGACTTGACCAAGGTCGCCAACGGAGCGACCATCACGTTTGAAGGCACGACGACGTTCGAATACGCAGAATGGGAAGGTCCTCTCATCCTTCTGACTGGAACCGATCTCACCGTCACGGGCACCGGAACTCTGGACGGTCAGGGAGATTTGTACTGGAAGAAGGGCACTTCGATCACTCGCCCCGTCTTCTTTCGTCTCAAGCGCGTCATGTCGTCTACAGTCAAGGGCTTCAACATCAAGAACTCGCCCTACCGCACATTCAGTATCCTCGACTCGGAAGACACGACTGTCAGTGGCTTGACTCTGAACTCCAAGGCTGGAGATAACGTGGCCAAGAACACGGATGGCTTCGACTTGAGTCGCAACCTCCGACTCACGATCTCTGGCTGCACTGTGTACAACCAGGACGACTGTCTCGCCATGCAGTCCAGTAACGACACCACCTTCACAGGCAACACATGCAGTGGCGGTCACGGTATCTCGATCGGTTCTCTTGGTGGCGATTTAGTCAATAAATCCGACATTGTGAGTGGTCTAACGGTCAAGAACAACAAAATCATCGACAGTGTCAACGGTATCCGAATCAAGACCATCATCGGCAAGCACGGCACAGTCACGGGTGCGTCATACACTGGAAACACGCTGACGAACGTCAAGAATGCCATCGTCATCCACTCGGACTACAGCAAGGAAAAAGGAGGCTACACTGGCGATGCATCCAGTCTCGTGGAAATCACCGACGTCACAGTGTCGGGGCTTTCGGGCACTGCAGACAACATCTATGACATTCTTGTCAATCCGAAGGTCGTCTCAGGCTGGACCTTTTCAGGTATTACGGTGAAGGGAGACTCGGGTAGCTGCAGTGGGGAGCCGAGCGACGTCAAGTGTTGAGCTTGATGTGGTTTTATGTGTAGAATTGTTCAGTGTGTAAGTGAAGAAATCGATGAGAATGAGACGTCTATCGTCTAGAGATATACATTGCCATCTGGATGTTCGCCACACTGCGACTCGATGGTGTTGCACACTTGTTGAAATAACGTTTCAGTGGCAGTCACACTAGCAGCTCCGTCGCCTTTGCGGTCGTAGTCGTAGCCAGGGATCCAGATGAGTCCGTCGTGAATAATACGCACAAACACTGGCACTCGTCTGTGGATGAATTGTTTGTATCCACGTTGTTGCCAACGCTCCAGTAACAAGCGAGCGGTGGCTGAAGGAGAGCGACGATGGCCACGTATGTTGGTTCTGGGTTTGTTGGCCGAAGTCTCTTGGTCGATTCCGAGTCCGTAGCCTATGCCGCTCCCGTCCGCGATTCGTTCATCGTCCAATACAAAGTCTAGTGTTTGAGTGAGTGCTGCGACGAAAGACTCGGATATTCGCACGGGAAGTGGCAGAAACACAGAAGCTATCAGGGGGTGAATCTGGACGCGAGAGACACTCGAATACTCCGGGACTCGACGTAAATCCAATCCCGCCTGCTTGGCGCGACGTCGTACCGTTCCTACAAACTCATCCGCTGCGATTCCACTACACGCTAACCATCGCACATCGAGGTGGAAACAGCGTGAGATGTCCATCGTTTCTTCCAACCGCATCATGGCCCACTCGGTTCTAGAGTCCTCAAACTTCGAGACCGACAATGTCGACGCCTTGCACGCCATCTTAAAACTCAGCATGCGATTCCCTCCCAGATGTGGGATCTTTCTTGCTTCTCTTGTAGCCTCAGGGTGGTCCAGTACCATATTGATGACAATATGCTCGAGATCTCCGAACTCCGAGGGAGCGACACGAGACTGCAGATACTCAATGAACTTGGAGAACTTTGCAGTGTAAGTTGTAGTGGAGGACTCGTCACTTTCCTCGCTGGTAATCACTGGAGGCACGATCGCAAACCGAATTCGACGACACTTCATGGTGTCTGCCATGTCGTCTAAGTATCCACACAATAGATTGTCCAGGGCGTTCCAGTTATCTTCCGGTTGAGGATATCGATGGAAAATCTGTTGATGTGGCTGGAAAGACTGAGTGAGTCCCACCCAGAGCGAGTAATTGTACGACGTGAACGCGACTTCGGGGTCGTGTGGCTCGCGTTGTACGAATCTCTTGACTTCGACGGTCTGTCGCTCTGCGTCGTAAATGAGCTGGTGGATGCGGTGCCCCATACTCAAATGATAAACTCTTCGTCGACTCCCAGGCGTTGGGTCACTTCCCATGAGTGACGCAGTGGAGTCGCAGCTTGAAACGAGCTGGAAGTCACGAGCCAATCGCTGGCAGATCATTTCGATCAACAGTTCGTCGTGGTTGCGATAGCAAGGCACACACTCGATCGTTGGAGATTGCGTGGCTGTAGTGGGGATTGTCAGTGTGTAGAATGCTTCAGTATAGCCTTGACGGAGCTCCTGTGGAGACGGAAAGTGATCGGTTGTCAATGGCAGAATAGCTGGAGACGTAAGGCTCATCCAGTTTGGCCCGAGGAATAATGGCTCGCCATCTTGTGTTGCCACTTCCCCTATAATGTCGCTAGAAGAGCGATGTGCGATGTGGTTAGACACTGGAAAGAGGTGACTCCATCGACGTCGGTCGCTTGAAAGATGCTGCGAACCTTGGCCTCTTGTGTATCGGAACGGATTAACTGCTGCCTTGCGGTGGTCAATGGGGGTCAATGCAGCTGTATCTGTAGCTGACGAAGCCTTAAAGCTGAGACTTCCCGGCGTTCGGAACAATTCCGATTGATTCCTGCGCAAACCTCCAAGGGGAGACCCTGGGTTGCTCAGGCGCCGCTGGTTGTTCATCAATTTGCTGGTAAAGCTGTCCTTTCCTTGCGGTGATGAATACACAGGTGAACGTCCAGACATCGACGGTAGTTCTTTAGTCATAGTCATCGCACGTGTGAGCGGATGGAATCCCTCGTCTCGATTCTTCAATGGAGTGCCGTACAGACTGCAGCTTGATGTCGACGATGGCCTAGAGGTAAAATTCATATTGCGATAGGATCCGTGGGTATCCATAGAGTTCCCGAGCATCACTTCCAGGGAAAAGGAGGCGTTTGTTTCTGCCTTTGGAACTGAGCGAGATTCTATCGGGATACCAGCAGAAGGAGGTTCCTGCTGCTTGGTGCGATCTAACGGAGTAGACTGCAGTATTTTGGGCTTCAACTTGCGTGGCGATAGGAGCGTCTGGATCATACTGGCACTTTCACTACGTAGAAACGAGCTCTCCTTCCTGAAGTTGCCACTGTTGCTTCGCTCTCTGGTACGTTCTGCCTCTTTCCTTGCATTGCGAAGAAACCACTCGAGATGTCCGTCACCAGCAATTGTTGCGCTCGTGGCACTGTCGTGTTCGTCGTGACTTTCCATAGGAATAAACCCAAGGCGCCGATCTCGTGGATTTCTCGTACTGATCTCTCCGTTGCGCACTACGGGGGCGAATACACTCTCGTCGTACTCTTCGAGGGCAGCTCGGGCATGCAGACTCGCACTTACATTCGTAGCTGTGCGTAGTTGACTCGACGCCACAATCGGATCAAAGTCCGGAGAGCGACTTAACTGCAATTGTTCTGGTGGTGGAACTGACGACGTCAAGTCTGGGAGCTCACTCGCCTCGAAGAGCAGTCGATTCTGACTCGCAGCGATCCTGATCGGGATGGAAGCCTCTCCACTCTCGCTGTTGTTGGTACTGATCTCTTCGCCGTGTTGATTGCAAGCTGCGACGGCACTGAGCACGAAACTGGAGGCGCTCTTAACGTCTCTGTGCATCAAATTTCGCAGTGTCACTGGGAACACGAGCTTTTCAGACGGTGAAGTGACGTCGAACATTCGAAATGACGGCAACGGGTTGAACTGATGATTCCGCTTGACTTGGCACTGACATGAATGCCATCCTCGCTGCGCACTTGGACTCAGTGTGCTTGGGCTTGAATGCTCAGTCTGATGAAAACTGGTGGTTGACCGTCCACAGCGACACCCGAAGTCTAAGAACGTGATGTTCACCCAGTGAGGAACGTCGTATGTTAGCTTCTCCCCAGCTATCTCCACCTCTGCAGCAGTTGTGTTGAGTGTTGATGGAGTGGAAGATCGACGGAGAACGTCAGTGCCAGCTCGCACCCACTCGGGACTTTTAGGCTGCGAAGTCGACATTAAGCTTGGAACCCCGTGGAAAGATGATGCAGCTTCCAACGATTTGGACTCTTGACTTGCACCGGAAGCTTCACTGAAGGAGAATTTACGATGGAAACTCGGCGTCTCGACGTTAACAGGAGTCGTTTCAGGCTTTGTGGATGGCTGGTCAGAGTAGATAAACAATGGAACGACATGCAACGGAGGTGTGGACAAGGAGATCATATCCATGCCCACGCCATTGTCCATCATCCGCTGCTCTGTGATCTCTGCCAGTTTGCTATTCACGTTGAAGATGCTGCATCCAGCAGTCATCATGACGATTCCCTGTCCTGTGCGACTCAAGTCTCGGTCCATGTAGTGTTTGTCCAGCACATTTAGTGTGACGTTGATGGCTTCTAGAATGTTGCCGTCCTTGGCTCGCGACGGGACTCCAGAAGGTAATTTGGTCCATTTCACGTACTGATTGTCACATCCAGAGTCGTCGACACCGGGGGTTCCTGGTTTTCCTGGCTCTGTAGTGGTATTCACAGGCTTCGGACAGTGGCAGATTTCATACTGCGCTGGAGAGAATTCTTCTGGGGTGCGCCATCGATGCGTCTCGTAGTAACTAGCGAATTCTTTCTTAAGTAGTAAAAGCAGCCGATTCCAGTCTGGCCCTGTGAAGTTCATGACGACCACCTTGTAGAAATCCTCATAGTAGCGACCTGAGACGGGATCGACGTGGATAGTGGGGCCGTAGCCGTTGGCCATGTTGATGCCTGGAGCACCACAGCCTGGACCAAACCCTTGTCTTCTAGGATCAGAAAATGGCGCTTTCCTCGGATCAAACCCGTCGGGAAACTGGTTGGCGTCGTAGAAGCTCCTGGAGAAGGCGATGATGGTGACCGAGTGACTCACAGAGCTCTCACTCCACTTGGCTATCAGCACACGTAGTAGCCGATTCAGTAGCTTCTCGTAGTAAATCTCTCCATCCGGTGCGAACTCCCACATCTCCGTACTCATCTGTACGAGCCAAAAGAGGCGACTAGAGCGAGAGCGGACGACGATCTTGGTGGCGTCTCCGATGACTCCACAGTTGAGCTGCGTGTTGTTGGCCAGAATAGCGTCCACCTGCGAGCGGATGCCGAGACACTCGACGGTTCTCCCCACGTAGACGCACTGGCCGAGCATCGTGACTTTGAAGCGCCAAATATCGGCTCTCGATAGGAATTGGTCCTTGAAGCTCAGCTCCACGAAATCCACACTCACGTCCCGTTGATCCACACGACGCACAGTCACGGGACGGAAGGCCTCGAGTCCGAACTGAGCCGCGATTTCCTTGGCCACGCTCACCTGCAATTTGCCTCGCACAGGCGCAAGTGACTCGACAGAAAGCACGAGACGCGGATGCGCCCGCTCTGGCTGCGAGACCTCCACTAGATCCAGCACTTGCACGTCCGGGAAGAAGTCCGGGTTGAGCACAAGCAGCTCGCCATTGCGGAACTCGGGCCCATGCACCACCAGCGACAGCGCTTCCCGGTCCACAGTGTTGCGTCGCGTGCGCCACATTGGAGCGCTTTAGTTCGCGATCTGGCAGTCTTAAGATTGTTGCCGTCCGATGGAGCTGTTAGGGGTGCGAGCGTAACTATTAGAAGTCACGACGTTTCACAAGCTGGCCACGAATTCGTCAAGGTTTCCTGTAGGATGAAGCTGCTAGCTGAACGAACTTCTCCCAAGTGCACTCAGCAATTGGCCCAAGCAACTGATGGCCGACAAAATTCTACAGAGACTGCAAGGTCGGCGCGGCACGAGCAACAAGAACAGAGCGTGCTTACCAGTGCCTCCCTTACTATTATCAACGTCTAGTACGGGGCCTCTTGCTACTAGGAGCGCAGTCAGAGTTGCTGATGTTGCCTTCTGTGAGCGTATCAGGTAACAAGTGGATCTCTCGCGTCGTGTCGTAGATCGGGTCTCCTCGGATATGTGGATTGCTGTGAGCCGCTCTGGTGTCCGCTGTGACAGAGGAATTTCGACTTTGACTTCCACATCTCAAACCCTTACAACAACGATGAGTTAGAAATGACCTCGGCGCCCTGTGATCCCGTGTTGTCCTGGTTGGCCATTCGTCATGCTTCTTCAACAGTCCTTGGGTAAACCTTTCCCAGCTCGACGATCACCACATCGTGTACAAGAGCCGCCGACTTGTAGTTGGATATGTGCGTCGAGAGTACCCTTTCTTGAGTGCCGGTCACGAGTGCTTCCGCGAATCTTAGATCCGTAAGCTTGCACTGTAGATCTTTCTCTGCTTCGTTGAGGTAGGCCGGGATTACCTGGATTCTGAACATGGACAAGAATTTGCCTCAGCTGGCCAGGCAAGTAGTTGTAGTGTCATGTGACGCTTTGCGCAACTTCATATCGCCACTTGCCGTTATTAAACGAGGTCGCAGTATTGGCGTACACATGCTGCGTTGTCGTTTTGGTCGCGTAGCTGCCGTCCCGAAGTCTGGCCAGGTACTCTCCACGGAGATGGTTCACGACGATATGTGACTTGCCCCGTTTTGGTTCTGACTTGACAAGATCATTCCAAACGCTCCGCTCGACCTATATAGCTCCTTTCTGCACAAGTGTCTCGATGTTCGAGTCCTCGTTGGAGTCCATGGTCGCGTCTGTTGCGGTGGCTCGATGTTGATAAAGCCACGATGTCGGAGTCGGACGATGGCACGGCGATTGCGGAGCCGGACGAGGTCACGAAAGCGAGGAGCCTCAGAACGAAGACACAGAACTGATCGAATTCGCGAAGGCAGCGGACTGGACAGGGAAGTAGCGTGGAACGGGGTGGTGACGCCCAAACAGGGGTTCCGAGCGAGGACACGGAGCTTGCGGACACGAACGGCGTCGAGAAGGTGACGGGTGCAGAGCGTTTGTTGAGTACACCGCAGATTGGAAAATCACGCCCTGAAAGTTCGAAGCCTCAGACTCGCTGTCGCCTCCTCAACCATGTGATGGCCGCGCTGTTCTGGTACTCTGTGATGCCGTAACCTCCGTGCGCCAGCCGTACGCCTCCAGATAGCTCGTGACCACCTCTACAGCGGCGCTCCCAGTCGAGACGCCTAGCCGGTCGGAGCGCAAGAGCAGTGAGGGTCATCATGCGCCATTACCTCTCTCGAAAATGGAGCATCGTTAACTTCGCAGCCAGACTCAGGTTTTCTTGTTTTGACGCTGCTGGTCACTGCGCGTTCAAACATCGACAGAAATGTGGGGCAGGAGTGCGTGATCACCATGAATTGGATGAGGTTGTGCTTGTAGCTGATTGAAGACCACGAGCACCTCGACAACTGCGCACTTGTGCTGCATCTGTGCTTTCTTGAAGCGCTCCTGTGGGCATGTGACTTTCTTTTGCGTCCTTCAGTCCCCCTATCACCGCGACGACTCCATGCGTCGTGCCCACCACGACCATCACCGGTTTTGGAAACATACGTGTTCAGTTAAAGCTTTGATAAACATACAGGTTTTGAGATATCTTCGTGTTTTGGAAACAGGCTTTCTATTTCCTAGGAAAAACTTGAACACTTTTAGGTTCGCTTTCTACACAACTTAAATGGGAATGGAAAAATATTTCGAGAGATCTGATTGGCTGGGATGGCAAGCGACGTTTTCATCGAAAGCTTTATAAGTTCGTTTTCGTTGAGTAATAAAATATGGCTAGAAGTCAGCACTGATATTTTTCAGTGTAATTTATTTTCATCGAGTTCTATAAGTTCGTTGTCGTTGAGTAATAAAATATGGCTAGAAGTCAGCACTGATGTTTTTCAGTGTAATTTTTATTTTTTTTGGACGAAAATTGTCTGTACTGCAATAATTGTATCAATTTACTTTACAGAAATACACAAAAGTGTTGGCACAATTCATTTTAATTGGGACGGCGCTCTTGATTTCCTAAGGAAGCCTCGAGAAAGTTCAAGTTCTAGGAAGAGCTTGAACTTTCTCGACTACTTGTTGTTTCCCGTCACAGACTCACATCTCCATGATCTCCGCTGCCGGCGGTTCCTCGACGCTGGCGGCCATGAACGCGTCGGCCGAGAGCGACGTGGAGCTGATGCGTACGATCCTGGGCGAGCACGTGCCGCAGAGCGTCATCCTGACGTGTCTGAACGCCTGCGCCTTCGACGTGAGTGCCGCCCTGAATTGGTACTTCGCTGAGGTGGCGTCGTCTCCCGTTGCTGCTTCCTCCTCCTCCTCAGCGCTGCAGCAGCCGCAGATGCTGGGCGATGCTCCTCCTCCCGCTTCCGTTCCCAGCATCCAATCGGGTCTCAGTCTCACGCTTCATCCACGCGCTATGGAAGGAATGGTAAGCAAGTCGGAGGCCTACTACGCTACACTCACAAGGGGAGATCCAGCCTACGACCTGCTCACACCCAGCAACGACAAATTCCTGACTATCCGCCTACGTAAACGTGGCTGGCGCACTGGAACCTTCCTGGGGGTCCCCTCACCCGCTACACAAAGACCTTATTTCGCCAATGGAGACGTGGTGACACTTGAATGCAACGGGCTGTGGCTCAAGGCCAGTTCCCTCAATAAAATGCTGCAGTGGAAAGCTCCATCTGAAGACGATCGCAATAAATTTGTGATACGAGGCCTGCCACTGGGCAAGAATTTGGCTCCTGGGGACTATTTCTTCCTCACGAGCTACAAGTGGAAGGACAAGGAGATCGTGCGCAAGGACGAGCGTCCCGTCGGTATCAGCAGCTACAACAACAGCATCCACCGCTGCTTTCTGGGCCTCGAACGCATCAAAACGTGATTTTTCTTACGCTGTCTCTGATGGTTGTAGTGCTTAGTATTGACCTGTTGTCTCTCTGTTCAGAGCCAACCAGCGCTTGTATCTGTACGCGAAACTCACACCCAACGCGCTCAAGAGTCTGCCAAAGCCCGATGACCCCGTCAATGTCAATAACCTCACAATCAGCGTCATGGGTACACCCATGTCAACGGGAAGCTTCACTATGCAAGAGCAGTCACATTCGGTGGGTGATGATGATGTGGTAGTTTATTGGGCCAAATACTGACTAACGATGACTTGTTTCGCTTGATGCTGTAGCGTCGGAAGGACTCCATTTCTGACGAGATTCAACTCACGAACGCCAAGATCGATCAGATGGCAAACATCATTGGCACGGACGTATCTCGAGATCGTCTCGCCAACTTTCTGGACGGCGCTGGCGGAGACGTGCAGGTCGCATTGGAGCATTATTTCATGAGCGTATCCAAGGAAACCGGACCAGCAACAGCACCAGCTACTACGTCAACCAGTGCGCCCCCACCAACTCAGATCCAGCAGTCAGCAGCATCTCTTGAAGAGGCCCAAGCACGTGCACATGCCGAAGCCCAAGCAAACCACAACCGACGGCCGCTTAGCCAGCTCATATTGGGAATTCCTTCCATCTCCGAGCCGCTGCCATCACCAAGCACGGAGCCAGTGTCGATCCCGCCTCCGGCTCCCACAACGACCAAACATGGCATTGCAATGATGCCTCCACGTCCACCGTCAGTTGACGTCACAAGTACTTTTGTTGGAGAGCCGTCGCCTGGCATGCCGCCTCCTGTTCCCTCTCCCTGTCCGTCTCCAATCCCTCCTTCCGTCACTACATTATCAGATACCAGTTTAACTCCAGCTGCGGTGCCTCGAATCACCGAGGACGAAGAGTTTGTGGACGCAACGGACTATACAAAACACCAGGAGCAAATGGAGCAGCACATGACGCACCAGGAGCAACAAATGTTTACATCAGAGCAACAAGGTCGTGGGTCCGAGTCCGTGTCAGAGGCTGAGAGTGGACGAGCAGAGGCGCTTACGATCCAGGACTTCGAGATGTTAAGTGTACTGGGCAAAGGAAGCTTCGGCGCTGTGATGTTGGTGCGTTTCAAGAAGGACGGGCGAGTATTCGCTCTCAAGATTATCAAGAAGAATAACATGGATCAGGCGGACGTGCAGAACGCTATGGAAGAGCGACAGATTCTGCAACGGATCCATCATCCATACATTTGTGGCCTGGTCTTTGCCTTCCAGACCAATGAACGGCTGTATCTGGGTATGAAGTACTACGCCGCTGGAGATTTGTTCTACCATCTGAACATGAAGGGCCGACTGAGTGTCAAGGACGCCAAGCTGTACGGGGCAGAACTCGTGTTGGCCATCTCGTATCTCCACGAGTTGAACATTCTTTATCGCGATCTCAAGCCGTCGAACGTCATGATTGATTCCGAGGGCCACATCGGTGTGGTCGACTTTGGTCTATCGAAGCAACACATTTACGGAAGCAACTTTGGTGTCAAGACATTGTCGGGGACAGCTGAGTATGTGGCCCCAGAAGCGCTCGCACAATCTGCTGATGGTTCTCGCAACTACGGCAAGGCCTACGACTGGTGGAGTCTCGGTGTCGTCATCGTACGTTGCCTGGTCTGTGTCTTTCTATTTTGTACTAACTTTTTCATTGCTGTTTGTTGCCCTTTGATGCAGTACGAGATGCTGGTTGGGGAGTCCCCTTTCTACGACGAGAATGAGCACAAGATGCTGAGTCGAATCGCGTATTCGGACGTGGTTTTCCCCTCAGACTTCCCGCGTGACGCATATGACCTAGTAAAAGGTTTACTGTGCAAGGACCCGAAGCAGCGACTTGGATCGGAGCGCATGGGCGGCGTGGACGCCATCAAAGGCTGTCGGTTCTTTAGGCATATTGACTGGGATAAACTATTGCGACGAGAAGTCAAAGCCCACTGGACGCCAAAGCTCAGCGGCGAGACAGATACCAGATATGTGGACCCAGAGTTTATCGATGAAGGTCCGCCTTCAGCAGCTTACGACCCGAGCGCTGATGCTGGCAATTCCCTTAGCAAGCGATTCAGTCAATTTTCATTCAATTACAATCTCGGGTGAGGTGGGGAGGCAGTGAGGGAGTATACACACAAAAAAGAATCCCTTACTACATCGACAGATTTTTCAGTTCTTGTGCACCTCTACTCGATCAGGTCTCGGATTTGAGAGGTCGATTCATGAGCAGTTCCTGAAGCTGCTCTCGCTTGACGTGGCCCTTGATCATGGCGTTGACGGTGCGGAAGATAGGCAGGTCGAGGCCACATTGCTCGGCGAAGTAGACAGCGACTTCGGCTGTAGGGACGCCCTCGACTGTGGTCTCACGTAGCAGGTCCTCGGCCTTCTCGCCCTGGATGAGGCGAAGACCGAACGTCCGGTTACGTGAGAGACTACCGAAGGCCGTAAGCATGAGATCTCCGATGCCTGCGAGGCCAGAGATGGTTATGGGCTGACCACCCATCGCCAAACAGAGTTTCTGTAGCTCCAATGAGCTGCGTGTAACGTAGGCCGCGAGCGTGTTGATACCGTAGCCGGAGCCCTCAACCATACCGGCGCCGATGGCCAGTGGGTTCTTCAGAGCACCACCAAGCTGCACGCCCACGATATCCTGCGAGCTGTAGATGCGGAAGTCGACGGTGGAAAGACGTCGCTGCACGTAGACCGCATGGTAGAGCAGTTTGGCAGCCACGACGACCGCCGACGGCGCGTTGTTCATGAGCTCGAGCGCGAAGGATGGACCCGAGAGGAAGGCCAGAGGCTGGTCGCGCTGTAGTGCCTCCAGAATAGGCACGGCCAGCAGCTGCTTTGTCTTTAGGTACAACCCCTTGCATGTGATGACCAGCACAGCGTCCGTCGGGATGTCGTCGCGGTGCAGGGCCAGGAAGTCGGGAGTGAGCTGAGCCGGGAGACACACGATCACAATCTTGGCGTCGCTAGTGGCTTCAGCCACGGACGTCGTGGCGCGGATATTGGGCAGAAGTTCGAACTGCGGGAACACGCGAGGGCTGCGGTGCGTCTCGTTGATGGACTGTACCACATCCGCGTCGCGGGCGTAGAGCACGACGTCGTGCTTGCGCCGAGCCGCCAGCGTCGCCATGGCGATGCCGAACGCACCCGCCGCCAGCACAGCCACCTTGACTTTCTCCACTTCGGCCGACGGCATACCGGCCATGGTCGCGCCACCCAGAGAGCCCTCCATGCCCTTGATGTGCAGGAAGTCTGTAGTGAGGAGATACTTGATCAACAACGCCCTTACATTCTGGCAAAGTGCAAGAAAGTTCGCGTAAAATACACATATCACTTCAACATGCACGAATCATTCAAAATTGGCAATGCATTGTTGTAGTTTTTCATTCGCTTTTGTGTTTTGCGCATGTTTTTGCTTCATTGATGTAGGTAACATAACTAAAGAATGACGGCAGTGCGTCAAGCATTTAATTTAACAGGTGCCGGATACTTATACGGACAATAACTAATTTCAACGGTTCAATCGGTAGCCACTCATTCAGCCCGTCACTCTGCAATCTTCTCTGCTTGAATTCCTCCATCTTCCCAGTGACGATACTCGACGGGGACGTGGGTCCGTAAGGCTCACTGTCCTTCAAGTCGTTCCAGCACCGTCTTCCCGGCGGTGTCCGCTTTATCGTTGGAGTGCACCTCAGGTGCACGCTGATAGCACCCGATCTTCTCTCCGAGGGAAGATTTTACAGCCTTAATGGCTCGCAGCGCTGTCTCTCCTCCCTCTTTTGGGGGGAGTGTGGGCCTCATTTCATCGCTATATGAGTGCTACCCGTCGGCTGTTGGTTTTCAACGGTGATTTCGACGGGTCTCCCACTGCAGAGCGCACGCGGGCCAAGAGTGATCACATCCAGATTCATAGTACCCTTGTGGCGCACTCACCGCCCTTGTGTCTCCATACGCTGGAACATCTCCAACCTCTTTACATCTCCTTTTAATAGTCTCTTAAAGCAATTGCCTGGGCAGCTTCCGCTGTCGTCTTGTAGCTTCTTCGGCATCAGTCCCCGCTTGCCAGTGGCCATCCGCTGTCATGATCGACGACTGATGCACGTGAATGGCGGCCGATGGACTGTGTAGCACTGTTAGTAAAGTAGACACGAGGTTCACCCGCGACTCAAACGCGAAGACGTGGCCTTGTCGGTCAAAGTGCAGCACCAGTTCCGTGGGGAGGCGGCCTCTGCTGCCCACGAGCGTGTTGACGATCTCTCGCTCTTGCGCGTTGTGCAGCGACTGCGTGAAGAGCGCAGGATATAGAAACTTGAGTGTGTCCTGCGTGAAGGTCACGTGGAGCTCACCATTCGCATAGACCGTCACGGCACAGCGAGGGTCATCTTCTTCGTTATTTACGAGCCGTACCGTATTGAGTCTGAAGGTGAGCTTCTCGTGGAAAGTCGTGTACTTTTCCCACTGATCCATGTAGGCCTGGAGGCCCTGGAAATCCCGACAGAGGATGTCCGGACGGAAGACGCTGGCCATGAAGCGGCTAGTGATGGCGCTACGCTCGCTGTCCGCCGAGTCGTAGCCGTGTACGAACTGCAAGAAATACTCCCGCGTGAGATCCAGCGCCGCAGCCGAGCTATTGGCGCGCCAGAGCAACGTGGCAGAGTCGCGCAGCAGCGTTGAGCGCTCCAGTGACGCAATATGAGCCTGGAGAGAGCGGATGGCGGTGTCTAAGGTGGCGTCGTCAGGTTCTGGCTCGGCTTCCACCTCGCGGCGTCTGGCTCTCGCATCTTGGCGGCGTCTGGACGCGCAATTACGCGGGTACGGTGGGCGGTGCCGCCTGTTGTTTCTGTTGGAAGCGTTCCTCTCCGAGGGCCGCTGGAGATGCCGTAGCGTCACTATGCGGGCGAAGCGACGCGCCAGGTACTGAACGACATCCGAATCCTGCGGCAGATCTTCCTCAGACGGTGGCAACGGGCCATGGAAGAGCGGCAGCATGTGCGATGGAGATCGATGACGACGTTATGGGAGGAGGCTGCGGCTCTGGCGGCGAGCGGAAATAAGAGTGGGCACCTTCGACCAGCGCAGCTTTACGCTGTCTACAGCTGAATACTGACTGAGCTTCCTAAAGCTTCTCTTTATCTTCGACGAGAAGCTTATCGTGTGAGGGGAGACAACTGACGCCAGATAGAGGAATCACTGCTGCCCACGAGACAAGTGCTAATGGCGATAGGGTCTTCTATCGACATGGGAAAAACGTTTGTCAAGAAAGATACTTGTACCTGCTTCAACAAACGCATGACACTGTTTGCAACCTACGCTTCTCTATAATGCATGGGCCCAGAACACACGCTGACCTCAGTCTCATTTAAGGCGTGCACTGCGGTGGTGATCATAATCTAGTAGTGGTCTCTCTCCTAATTTCATCTTCACCAACATCGTCGATACCCTCAGTCCGATCAACTGTGGCTTGCATGGGCTCAGTCGGTGCATCAGCCACGTCGGCGCCTTCTTCTATATCAACGCTCCCAACGTCCTTCAGTGTTACTACATCTCCACCATTCACGATCGCCTCTGGGACGATAGCAAGGAAGCGCTGTCGTCGTATCAGCCGTGCTCGTCGGACAGAAATGTACCCCAGCACACAGCCGACAACGATGACACAAGCGCCTACAACGAATCCTAGTAATGACAACGTTTTGGCTGTGAATGGACCTAGATTTGTCATCGTAGCGGACGCTGTGGCAGACATACCGGTCTCTTCTTCGATCCAAAGAATCGGCAGCCACCCTGCAGCAAGGTCGCTATGCCAGACATCAAGCACCTGACGGTCTTCAACTTGCGCTGTAAGCTGCCATACGAGACGGCGATGCACTACTGCACCCGTCTGGGGATCGATATCGAACACGGACGACGCTGCGTCCGAGGACGAACTGCTTTGCACCATCAGTGGCAAATCATCGTACAAGAAACTTACGTTGAGACTGGGAGTGGTCGGTGCCGACGTAGATACGACTCCAGTCGGGAGTCGAGAAGGCAACGTCCAATTCATGACGTAGCGCATCATCGACTTGCCGAAGCGAGTCGTACTGCTGTCGAATGTGATCTGAGCCACACGGCGAGCGTATCCCCAGTAAAAGTAGAGCTTCTGAGGTGGGAATTCGACCGAGGTAACCGAGTTCTCACCCTGACCTATGAGTACTGCAGTTGTGAACTGCGAGCCATCCGTCACTCGAACTGCGCTAAGCTCCACTTTTTCACCCCATGCGTTCATGAGTGTAGAGCTGTCCACCGCTACAAGACGACCCACCACGCTCTTGCCCTTCCTGTATAGAGCTGCGTTATCCTCCAGTGGAACTACGAGATCAAACGTCGAGGCTCCACGCTCCATTGCCGTTGAATTGGACCACAATGGCGTTTCATTGGGGGATTCATCTGCCTCGCTTGGCGGTGAAGCGAATAGAATCTGAGATACCATTAACGCAGCAAAATATCCTCCGATCGGATACGTTAACGATGTCGAGAGAGCTGCTTCTTCACGGGGTGGACTGGGGCGTAACCCGAGGATACTCGGTTCATATTCAAACTTCGTAGCTACATACAGCAAGTACGCCTGCAGATCCTGTACGATGCTTACAGGTTTGTCGTGCAAATCTTGTAGTCCAGGTAGCTGTAAGTACACTGCACTCGACCCAACACCAGCCTCCCCCGTTCTGTCCACACAAACCTGTTGCTTCTCTTGATCACTCCAGTCACTATCATAGGCTTCAACTACAGTCTTCATCAGAGTTGTGCACTTTTCTGCTGTCTCGAATGGCTGAGCTAGAAATGCATCCAGTAGTAACGCACTTCGGGTGGTTTTCGGTAGTGCAGAAGGGGAAGGAGCTCCACTTCCCAACGTACTTGCTGAGATATTGGGCTTAGGCCAACTCCACACTGTTGTGTCATCAGGACCGAAAGCAGTCCAAAGTGTCTGAGCGTCGCTAATCGAGAGTGTGTATTCTGTTCCAAGGCTGCACTTGGTATCTTGATCGTACAGAAACTGGAGGTCTTGACCACTGTAAGTGCAGAACGCACTTAGCTCAGCGAATCCAGGGAGAAAGGAGCTCATTTGCTGCACGATGAGGCTGTTCGAAGTGTCAAATACGAATTCTTGGTGTGGAAAACGCTCTGATCGCGTCCCATTGTCGTTCAAGATAAGACGACCTGTGCTGCCGTCGCGGACGGAGTAATTGGCTCCCGAGACGCTGCCGTTGATGAATTGAACCGCAGCTAAATCCACGAAGCTCAGAGGCCCAGTAGTGGTGTCTTCATCACCGTTGGCTAGGCGTACACGCTCAAGAACGTATTGTTCAAGTACCATGTGATCTAGTAATTTCACCAACCAGGGTACAATCTGCTCCTGAGTCATGGATATCGTGTAGACTAGTAGAACGTCGTCACTGACCCCCGATAACGTACTTGATACATTAACAATACGGTCCAGTAGAGAGCGTGACAGCACTTTCAGAACTTGTGTCTTGCTCATCTCGTACTGAGAAGAATGTTGAGGTATTTCGCATTTTCCAGTTACCCGATCCGAAGAAAAACAGTCGATCAACAGAGTTCTCCACAGTGCAAACCCCTCTTCGGGATTAGTTAGCGCTACAGACTCCGAGACGTCAAGTAAAACGCGAGCTGCTGCAACCCACCACTCTGTTGTGCTGAAAACTGTGGCATCTCGCGCACTGTTGGGGCTCAGTTGGCCTAATGGAAACGCGTTAGCCATGTCGGTCGCGCTAGGGAATAAAGCAGCTATTGACGTTGAACCCTGTGTGATCGGAGCGATCCAAAACTCCTCAATAAACAGACGAGCACTTGGATGGTTAGCCCACGACTTGAGCCAATGTCCAACAAGCTGAAATAAGCACGACACTGTGGAGTCCGTCAACTTCTGGTCGTTGATCACCTTAGATGTTGGGTTAGAACTACCAATTAATTCTGTTTCGTTGACTTCTCCACGTGCATATGAGAGCCACGTCGATACTCCCGTAGGATGGAGAAATGAGGCTGGATTCGAGAAATCCCAAAGCGTGTAAAGTAGTGATAAGGAATTGGCGCACTCTCTGATTGTCTTCTGAGTTTTAGTTACCCCCACGTAGGCCACATTCGCGATGAGATCATTTACAGATACGCTTCTAGCAATCGCAGTATTCCAAGGGAGAACAAACGCTAATTCGTATCCAAACTCTAGCGGATCTTTTGATGCTTCTGTACGTGGTGAACTCCACTTATCCAATTGATAAACCTGGAAAAACAGCGACGAATCCCGCACTTGACGATACCATCTCGCTATGACCAGGAGCTGGTCAATTGTAAGTTCCAGTGTTTGTTCCAAGAAGGAAAGAGCCAACGCTGAGAGATCTGCTGTCGCCTGGACGATGGGAGTACTGGGAATTGACGGTTGTACTAGCACCACAAATTCATCGAAAGCCGCAGTTTCCAGGACTCCGTAGCCGTCCAGCAGATGAGCACATGGCGTTCTCGTATTCCCGTCGCTGTCAGTGACATTGATCAAGCACCATACGATTCGACTCGCAGGGTCCAACAACGACCCCGTGATCGCAACATCCCACAGTTTCCTGAGTGAATTCCTACTTGCATCACTCAGAACAGTCGACCCTGCTGTAAAATAGTCGTGATTCATATCCGACGTGATTGGAAAGGAATAAAGACGCTCCAAGTGAGACGCAAAGTCCAAGCTGCGCTTGGGATCTCCTCGGAAAGTCTCACCTGTCGCCCACTGGAACAACACAAAATCTCGTAGTGAATCGTCGATAGCCCAATTAAACAACCAGCGGGCAATGCCTCGAATTTGAGCCTCCGACAGAGAAGTCGCAGTGATCATCGCTGCCAGTATCTGAGCTCGCTTTTGATCGTTCAGAGAATGAGTCATCGCAGTTGGTTGTGCCACTTGATTGGTTAACGGATATTGAGATACCAAGTGTTCGGCCTCATAGTCCACACCTTCGAACATTTCCTCCCACGCTCGGAATCCTGTGGGAAGTCCAGCGTCATCAGTAGACGAATCGCTTCGAATAATTGAGTACACACTGTCAGTTTGCCACAACATCTTCGCCTGCTCCAAGGTCGGTAGAGTCAATGAATTCGCCGTTCCCTTGTAATAAGTATTCCTGTCGAGCTCAAAGCCACGCTGATCACCAGCTTGATGGATATCTACGTCTACGCTAGCGACGTTAGTAGAGATCCACAAGGAACAAACACTGACAGCCGCAGCGTCACTACTTTCCCACTGCAAGAGGTAGTCTTGAAGCACTGATAAGTCACAGGGTGAAGAGCTCCCAACTAGAGTATCCATGTCATTTTCAACCTTTTGGAGCGCAGTGGATCGATCGATCGCTGGGTACCATTTCTCAAAAAACGAGGTGGAATTTAGGAGACTGAAGTCTGACTGGGAGTCCCACAATACTTGAGCTACTTCAATAGAGATAGCGACATCACTAGTTCTGTTGAGCTCAAATGTTGCGTCCATAGGTGTGACTTCGGATGGATCCATGTCCAGCGTCGCGAGAATGCTGAGTAAATTACACGCTTGAAACGTGTTCCTGCTTTGTCGAGTCCCTACTGTTTTCGTGAAGCTAGACGATGCCAGTGGTTCACATTTTGTCCAGGATTCGGTCACGTCGACAGTTTTTGTAGGTTGGATAAGTGCTGCTGTTTGGGCGACATTTGCGTCGAAGAAAGTAACTGGTCGTGAAGCAAATTGCTGGATCTCATCCAGAGTCGACGAGAGTGTAGCAGTGTACGACTCTGTACAAGAAGAGACCGTGGACGTTTGAGGTGTTGGCTCCGATATGACTCGTTCAATCTTCGCTGTAGTTGGGCAACGGGCGTAGAGCCAATGACCCAACACATCGCGCTCCAGGTGTTCATTGGTTTTCCATCGCTGTAGCCACTGGAACACTCGCTCCATCCAGATTTCCCACGTTGAGGAGGCACTGCAAAGCCTTGTGATATCTTTTTGAGCAGAGTCTTTACTTGGAGCATCATTGGATTCAATAGCCACAGCCAATGCTTCCCACAATGCAAACCCCTTGGTAGTGAGAAACGAAGCTTTGTGTGTTGTATCCCATAGATCAAGAGCTTCACGGGGAACTTCATATTGTGTGCCATTCTCACTGATGATCGTCGAACATTCACTCGCACTCAACGAACTGAGAGTTGATTCGCATCCTGTTGTGAGTTCTAGGCCACTTTGAAGACCATCACGATAAGGCTCAATATCAAGATCACCAGCTACACCTCGTCGCCACTGATCTAACAGACTATTCTTTATCCATTGCGAACCACTCTGCTCTTTCACCCAAGCTGCAATCCAAGCCACGTGGACTGCTGTCACCTGCGCACAACTCGTATCGACCAAACTCACGTTAAAAATTCCGGAGCTTGGTCCTCCGCCTTTAATTCCATCCTGACATGCTCCCACAATCGCAGCGTTTAGATCGTCTGCAACCGCTTGAGTTTCTGCTGTCACTCCAGCAGCTCCTCCGCTAATACTCTCTGCTAGGCCAATCCATCGCTTGTATCCTTTCTTGCTTCGAAATGATAGTTCGCTGTCGGGATTCCACAGTACAATTGCAGCTGCGAGACTAATCCGGTCTGCATCATTCTGAGCCAGAGGCACGAGTTCAAATCCTACAGTTCCGTCGTCTTGGTCGTCTGCTAACCCTGTTGACACGACTTCACATGAATACATGCGAGCTTGAAGTGTATAGATCGTCTGGGTCTTCGTAAAGGTAGATCCTGTAGTAGTGCAGGTATCTATCGTCACTTGGTATGTTCTCACATCTGTGAAGAATGGAGACACGTTACTACTACTCGATACTGTGGATTGTTCTTGTTCACTTGATGTCTCTTTGCACTCTGATTGTCCCGTAGTTACAGTAGCAGAACCGACTTGAGTCTTACTGAGCTCCACGCGTGTCCAACATGTACTTCGTAGCCACCAATAATACACCGCGAGTTTGTTGAGTTCATTTTGAGCCCAGCTACTGAGCCATTTACCAATTGCTTGGGCACTAATCTTCGTTACAGCGAGTGTTGTGAGTTGCTGGGAATCATTGATCAGACGTGCGTAGTTGCTCTTTCGAATGGCTCGCAACCACTGAGCATAGTATTTCGTATCGGAGGAGTGAGCAGGAATCAAGAAGGAGACGTCCTCAGTGACGTCCCAGAGCGAATCTCGAGCGCTTTCAGAGATTCCAGAACCGATTTCAGTCACTGCGTCTGGGTTCATCTCGAATCCTAGTTGAATACCTTCGATATTCGGCTCCAAATCGTATCTCAAACAGCCATCTTCGCGCGGTAACTGCATCACGGTCATACAAGTTCCGTCCGTCCAATGCCGCAGAGCTCGACGTCGAATGAATCCGTCGTCTAGCATGGTTTTAATCCACGACGAAATAACAGATACTTCTGCATTTGTCACCCCCGTAATTCCTGCTAGCAATCCAGAACTCGATGCTGTCGCTGTGCCATCCACGACACTCAACCACCTCGTAAAACCTGCAGGATGAACGAAAGAATATTCGATCGAAGAGTTCCAAGCTTGCTGTGCTACACTTGCACTTGCACCGCTCGAAGACACTGACAATGGCTGGAGACTGAAACCAGACTGAACCCCCACCCGTTCCAGGTCTAAATCCACGTCCGGGTCGCTCACATCGCTACTGGTAGTGCGTTTGTCGAATGCTTTTCGCCAGAATCGCTGTCTATCTCGCTGTGTAATGTCGCTCTGCGCCCAGAAGATAATATAGTCACGAATCGCCATCAATTGCTCTCGTGTGAGAAAATCTCCGACCAATGCCACATCGTTGTTAACGCCTTCAAGTGCATAGCCGATTGCCGTCTCGTTAAGCGCCACAACCTGTTTCCAGATCGCGAAACCTGTTGCTGTTGTTTGAGGACCATCAAGTCCGTCGGCCGCGGTTTGTACCGGATCGTAGTCAACAAGTGAAAAGCGCAGATTCGACGGCCGGGAGCCTAGTAACAGCGTCGCAACCTCCAGACTCAGTTCCAGTGCTGACGTAGCTGGCAACAACTCAAATCCCGTTCGTTCTTGATTAGTTGGACTGTCATCGATCCACGCATCTAAATCTGTTGGGGTGCTTCCTTGCTGTCTCCACAGATTAATCACTGCAAGCCTCGCGTTATCGAGCGTCGCCTGGTTGTTCGCCATGTCACGAGCTACGATCTCGTTCTTGATGGCACGTAGCACAAAGGGCACGACCTCAAGGCAGGCACGTTCGAACACTTCTTGCAGCACGTACGGGAACGCAATTCGCTGGATTTTGAGGCTCAAAGAGCCAAGTGTTCGAGGCACGAAATTAGTCTGTTGTGTTTCTATCTGCCGTCCGAGAAGTGCTGGCACAGCCTCCACTTGCAAGCGAGTGTATATATTGCTCAACACTCGTGGAACAGCTTGTCGCCGTGCCAGATCATATTGCTTAGTCAACAAACGGGGGATCGCGACGTCTGCTTGATCTCGATATACGTCGCGCAGCATGACTGGGATCTGCTCGGTACGTGCCACCGCGTGCATCCGAACGAGAGCCGCGGGTAAATTTGCATCTCCTACTCGACGTCTCTGTCGATTGATCACGGCTGTCATTCCCTCACGCTTGACACTCGCCACCATTTCTGGTAGTAGAGCACGCAACGCTCGCAATTTGGTGGCAGCGAGGAAGTCGCTCTGCAAGTGTCTGACGTAGTCCCGGATATGAGCGTGTGCGAATTCGGCAGCGAGAAATCTCTCCGAACGCCCAGTCTGGGCGTGAAGTTTGGTCAAGTGGCGGACATATGAAGCGTTGAGCGTCACGACCAGGTCATTCTCTGATCCACTCGAGCGTTCAGTTGAGAAATGGTAAGTGGAAGCCACCTGGTAACTCACGGCGCCGTAGTTGTTCGAGTCGTACGCGTCGTCTTCGATCGCGTGGAAAGTTACATTAAGTTTGCGTGTCCGCTTCTCGTACGTGTACGGTCCAACCTGCGTGAGTTTCGGTTGGACTGTTCTACTCCCACGTAGCAGATCTTCAGCGTTCGTGAGATTCCAGAGGTAAAAACTTGTAACCTCTGGTGCGTCCATTGCAAAGGTGAAGGTCGAACAGTTCAGGAACGACGCCGACGTCTCTGAAGCTGTAGCTTTCGGCATCCATTTGAACAACACTGCCGCCTGGGTCTTCCTATCCGCCTCCTGTACGTGGAACCCCAGCACAATGAACACGATACCGCAGACTACCAGCACCAACGCGAGTCCGATGCCAAACATCGTCGAGCCGTTGTGCCCACGGCTATTTTTCAACTGCTCTAAATTACATTTCTCTATTTTACCTGACGATTCCTAGCTATGGGGTTTAGCAGCAAGTAGTGTGGCTTGCTCACTGAAGTACAGTCGATTGGTTCGTAGATTGTCCAGCGTCTCTTTTGCGGCTGGAACGAGGTTACCGATAGTCGCCCACAAAGGCGCCACGAGGTAGTCGATGAAGTTCATTTGCAGACGGCAGCGAGTGGCTTCATCCTGCAGATTGAGTAGATGGGGAGGAACGTTGATCCCCAACTCGGCTGAGCGTTCCGCCTGCTGTGTGAACTCTGTACACACACGTTCGACCCACTTGAGTGCCACTCGGAGAGGCCTTCCTACTGAGCCAAGATCGGCGCCGTGGATGATCATGTTGAGCATCAATTGACGTCCTTCTGGAACGTTCTCAAACTCGTGGACGTTGGCTACGACTGCCAATTCGGACAGCAACTTGGTGTGGTGCTTCATGTCGGTACCGAGAATACAACGGACGATATGTGTGCGCGCGGACGCTCGGGCGTTGGCACTCAAGTCACGGAGGATATCGCAGCCAGGCACTAAAACAAGAAAATAACAGTGTTAGATACGAAAATGATAGCGAAGAAGCAGTGGGCGGACTTACTCTTAAGCACTGAGAAGGTGGTGGCTGCGTGGTGGTTTTCCAGTACGGAGATGTCATTGTAGCAGAGAGCGAGTGCAGAGCTCGAGTCCACTTCGAACTGGTTGTCATTGCCCGGATGATCGGCATCGTGGCCTAGTGCTGCAATCAGTAGACTCAGAGCTTCCAGTTCCTTGATGACCGAAAGAACTTCAGGCGACCGCATGAGTGCGTACGAGGCTAACGCCACATCAAACCCATGATAGAAGCTGTGGTATGGCACATCACGGTATCTGCTAGCGAGTTCACCAATAAACATCCGAAGTGTGATCGCCTCTATCCGGAACGTCCCGATCAGTACCAGACCTTCGAACAGTTGATACGCGTAATTCTCCAGTTCCGAGATGGATTTGGTCAATGGATCGAAATTATCCCGTAGTAATTCCTCCACTTGGGCATATCCGTCCTGCCCCATAGTCATACGATGCCATCTCGTGATCAAGGAATGTGTACGACCAGCTCGTACAACCGAAGCTGTACGACTGCGTATACGTGGACGAAGGAGGACTCTGCCAGTTTCTTCCAGATCCCCATCGCTGTCATCATCGTCATCGTCATCTGTGAGACCTTCAGCTCTCTCGTGACGCATCTGGACAACTTGCTGTAGCCGCGACTTCGCCAAGCGCTTGACAAAGCGGCCAAGTACCCAGCAGGCATAAGCAAAAGTGCTCCACTTGTTCCGAGGGATACACTTGGCCTCGTCAAAACCGCTAAATTCCAACAGTGAGTGAACACTCGCCACTTCATGCTTGGTATCGAGTCCTGGTTCCCCATTCCCAGCACCAGACGCATCAGTCCTGTCATTTCTTTCAGTACTCGCACCGTCTTCACGTCCTGTGTCCTGAGCTGAGCGGTTTGCCCAGTAATCAGCCTGCACCTTGGCGAAAATAATTAGCGAAGAGTTGACGTGCAGTGCGTGCGCTACAAGGCGTAAGTAGTGGGCCATTACGTCGTCGTCATAGCGTGCGACTGGAGGACTAGCCGCAGGAAATTGACCAAAGTTGACCGCTTGTAGTACGCCCACCGTCTCGCCTGCACGGTCCAGTACCGGTTGAGTAAGGAGACACTCGGTCTTGAAGCCGAACTTTGCGTCGAAAGACCGATCGAAGCGTGGGTCTTCGTACGGTTTGTGGACAGTCAGTGGCTTCTTGGTCTCAGCTACATGACCAGCGATACCGCGTCCGTAAGGGATTCTCAATCCATTGACACTACTGAGGGAGCTCAGACTCCAAAGCTCCTTCTTGATCGTGTCAGAGACGTAGAGCGTCACATGGGAAGTGTGGAATACAGCACTACCCATTTCACAGATCAAAGACACGAGGCTGGAAGGATCTCGTACTGATTCCACTAGTAAATGTGAGCGACATAGCGCCAATAGTTGTCGCTTTTGTCGTGTCGATGCTCGCAGGTCATCCGACCGCTGTTTGGCAGCCAAAGCCAGCGCTATCGCTGTCAGAATCGGCTGTAGTTTGGTTTCGAGTGGTAGTTCAGACTCTACTTCGAGCATTGATGCAGATAATGACTCGGTAGAGTTCGACACAAGGCAGAAAACACCGCATGGCTCCACTCCTCTACTAGTTGGTACGGGCAGAAATTCCAGTGAGCGCTCCACATCGGCTTGTAACTGTAACGTTGAATTCAGAGTTGCATCGTCGCTGAGGTCCAAGCGTTCGCATGTGCGAATACTTTCCAGCAGCCGTTGGAATAACACATTGGTAGACTCTGCTAGTCCACTGAAAACTTCTCTGTGATTCTCCTCGAAGCCATTTCCGTGACTAGCAAGAACTTCACACTTGCTTTTGTCCGCGTGCAGTTCAACAAGACAAACTGCCGATACAACCGGCGCAATACTCATGATCTCTGCACTTAATTGTCCAACATCAGGGGAGTGTAACCATTCAGCTTCTGCGTTTGAAAGCCTCTCCGAATCGAGACTTGTTCTAGCACTGGCTATCGCTTCTTGGTTCTCTACGGAGGTGTCAACAGGGCCGATTGCGTGACTCAACATTTTCTGTACGACCGACTGAGATCGACTCTGTCGTGCAAGTGCTTTCTGTAACTCGAACGGATACACTGCGTTCTCGACTGCTGTGAGCGTTGCATGCATGAATTCCTTGGAGAACGATAATCCCTCTTGGGTACTTCTCGCTTCCATCACAAACCTCGGTCGACCATTTTCATCCGGTAATACACCAGCAAGCACACTGGCGGTCGTAAATCCCAGCACCGAGTCTACATCGCAGGTAACGTCGTATGTCCCCAGATCCCTAAGACAAGCAACGTGCGTCGCTGCGGGCCCTGTATTCTCGCCATTGTTACCAAAATGCTCTAAGAGACCACGCAACGCGAAGGTCTCCAGCGAAGTCTGGAAGCCAACGATGCCAGGCCCTGAACTGGAGCAGGCTACAACCTTCAGCACCGGAATTTTAGCAGTTGAGAGCGAGTACAGCACGACCGCCGTTGCATCCAACGCCGATGCTGCAGCAAACAGCAAAGAGGTAAGAGTTCTCTGCAAAGACTGCTCAGACTGAGCTGCGTCGCGCATCTTCAAACCCGCTAGAGTCTTGTAGAACTGCAACTTGCGGTCCAATTCCCGAAACGCGGCCAGATTCTCCAATATGGTACTGCCTGCATCCATCACGGTCGAGTCCCAAGACACTCGACCGGATGATGAACTGACTGTGAGTCTCGTACTCGTGCGCCCACCAACGCCGTTGCCCCCTGCAGTCGGAGGACGTAGCGGCTCCAAGTGAATGCGACTGTCGTGCAGGTGTGTATTCTTCTTTGAATAAGGTTTCCCAGTACGTTGCGGTGGCATGGGCATGAATTTCTTGTCACTATCGTCTAGCGGTGACGCTCCAGAGATCGACGGTAGTACAGATGAAGACGTGGTGTATGAAGAGGAGCCTGTGATTCCATTCGTGTTGGGGCCTCCTTCCAGTCGAAGTAAGCGGGACATTGTCGCGGACTGTTGTGCCTCTCCGACTTTTGATCCCCGAGCAACTCGAAAGCACAGCACACTCAACACACACGCGTGCGTGTACGTTTCGTTGCCGTACGACTCGGATCGTTTGTCGAAACCGGAGGCGATGCCTTTGTCGTTGTCTCTGCGCGCTGTCGACTCGGTCACAAGCTGCAGGTTTCGCGTTCCATTTACGGAATCGCCCAGGTGTTGAGGTGAAGGTTTCTCGATTCCATGTTAAGAACACTCAACGGAGCTGCGTCTTATCTTGTCGTTTGGTGCTTTTTCGGGCTGTCGTGGAGCTGCAAACATTACGAAACTCGAAAGCAACGTGGACGTATTTGCTGGCTTTATCTCGCCTTCTCAGCGCCGTCTTGGTCCGCCCTTCTTGTTGAATCCAGCGTAGCGCCGGCCGGAAAAAAACCTTTCGCGTTCCTCTTCAATCTTTATGGTGCACTTAACTGATCTCTTCGGAGGAGACCGTCGATGAAGTGATTGATGAATACGGTTCCACTTGATTTCCATGCACTTACTTCACTACAACGCCTTATTCTTCCTCTACATGAGCGGCTTGCCGACGGCTCCAATAGATGCCAGCGCCTTGACCTCCGTCGGTTGGCCGCCGTCGTCGAAGAATCCGTAGCCCTTGAACGTCGCCTGCACCGTCTTCTTCTTTGCCGCTGTATTGTGAGGGAAACGAATCTCCTCTTCGTGCATCAGCAGGTCTTGCACACGCAGCAAGTACGACTCGAGGTTCTTGAGGTAGCGCTCGGTCTGGCGGTGCCGCGACGATGCGCAGAACTGGATGCCTTCGTCTTTAATGATGTAGCCGATGCCGAAGCCGTCGGGCACCACGGGGCCGAATCCGAACAACCTTAGACTCGGATTGCCACAATTGCTCGTTGACAACACCGAATGGTTCAGTTTGCGCCAGGCGTCGTCTGCGAACAGTGCCGGTGTGGGTTTGCTGCTGTCGGCGGCCTTCTCGTGCTGCCACAGACACTCCAGAGCATAGAGATGGCGCTCGGGGCCTTTGCCGGCTGCGCAGTCACGTACATTGGTGACGTGTGTGGCGATGGCTTTGCGTAGCGATCCGATCTTTTCGAGCGGCGTCTTCTCCGAAAAGAAAGTCTCAACGAACTCCAGTGCGTCGGTCGTCATGGCACGCGCAGCCTCCGTTCGGCCATGCAAGAAGCGCTTGGTAAGTACAGGCTCGTAGATGCAGGGTGCGCTGCCGTATTGAAAGTAGTAAGCGGCCACAAAGGCCATCTGCACGAAAGCGTCTGGGCTCATATTGTGCTGCGTGATGAACAGCTTGCCGAACGCCGTGAACTCGAGCACCTTGACCTCATTCTGCAGCATCAGGTCTGTGAGTTGAGCTTCGGCGAACTTGATACCTTCCTGTAATTCATGATCCAGCTCCCACTCGAGCTTATGTGGCTGCACACGCGGACGACTGGGCGTATCGGACGGGCTCAGCTGCGGTGCGCGATACGACGCCTCTAGGAAGGCGTAGTTACCGGCACGGATCGTCTGTGCGAAGCGAATGATCGTGTCCGTGAAGACGTCCGACACGAAGCGCAGCACCGTGTGACCATCAACGAAGGCGTGCTCGAAGTTGCATCCGGCCACGCCGTTCTCACACACGATGAGCTGCAGCTTGTCGTACCAGCGATTCATACACGTGCCCGTCTGCACGCCGTCCTTGGTGATACTATACGTGCCGTGTAGCGCCGTGGCCGCAAACGCTGCGGCGTCTGGAGGCGACGTCATGTCCAGACAGACGAGGAACAGCGCGCGGTCGATAACGGCCAATGTGTCTTTGTTCTTGGCCTGTAGTTTGGTACGTAGGTTGGCCCATTTGGCGCGACGCTCCGTGGTGAGCACACCCACAGCATTGGACGCGGCCTCAACGTCGTCGGCCTTTAGTGCATCTTCGTGAATAGCCTTGAGATTGGCCAGCAGCTCTCGCTCCGTGATGGCCGTGACGCCGTCCTCCCAGATGACGTCGAACCAGTAAAACTGGTTGCGGCAGACCACCACAATGTGCTTTGACAGCTCGTCCACCATGACGTCGTCAGCTCCGTCCGAGGGCACGCGCGCACAGCCAAAGAGGCGCTTGTACTGGTGCATACACAGCGCCATGTTGCCGCGCCACATATCGGGCTCCAGTGTGCCTCGACGTAATGCATTGACGAATTTGAGCGCGCCCAGTACGAGCGACGCGGCCCGCGAGAGCTGGTTATTGCGCGATGGTGTGGGGTCGTCCTCCAATACGAAGAAAGGATTGACATTAAGCACGACGGAGCTGCGGTGGTTGAGATAGGCCTCGTACCAAAAGTCCTCAATGTACGAGAGTTTGTCCTTGTCGTAGTCGAGCAACTGCTGGTGCAGCCGCGGGCCGTCACTGGCCAGGAACTCCTTGACGCTGCGTTCGGTCTGTTGCTGCTCCTCGGGTGTCTGTAGAGCCTTGACGGACACTAGGAAGCGCTGGCACGTGCCCTCCAGGTCGGGGATCGGCAGCTTCGGCAACAACGCCTGATGGCGGTACGTGGTCGACTCTGCGTCTGTAGGCGGACGCCAGGCAGCAGAGGGTGAGACGCCATTGCTGGCGCTCGGACTCGCAACGTTGGCCACCATGCTGGCAGGGCGGAGAGCGTAGAGCGTAGAGCGTAGAGCGTAGAGCGTAGAGCGTAGAGCGCAGAGAGAGCTGGTTAACTTGGTCGCTGGAGAGCAGATTGGAGAATGGTCTTGATTGACACCAGAAGAACGTTAAATGCCGAAATGGCTACGTTTTACTTCAAGTTGCGTTGCGTGGGATTGCTGTCAACGAAGGTTGTGAAAATGAATACGCTGAATGAACAGAAGAGGTACTTATTTGAGCTTGCATAAATTAGTTTACCTCTCCATTTCGTTGGTTTCACGAACGATTTTGTTGGCATTTGTTGCGTGTCAAAGCATGCTGGTAATTGTTCAAGGAAGCCCATCTAGAAGTTCTCGTCGTGAACGCAAAGCTTCAGGTCTCTCGCTCGTCTCGCTTCAACCACACGTCTCCAACCTCAACTATAACCTGTATGCTTGAGGCTGGCTACACTGTAAGTTCGGATCGCGTCGTGTTCTCTTTGGTATGATGTGAGTCGCGAGAGGAAATTATCACTGCGTCAGTTGCTGCGTGCAAACCTCCGTTGCCAGCTTCACGATCTGCACGAGGTCCTGCGAATTCGAGTGCTGCGTATCAGTCAAGTTGCTCCATGAGTATTGGAGCTGATGGGACTTGACGCAAATACCTGTCAGGGTGAGAATCGCCACCGTAATAATCACAAGCACGGCACGTTCTCCAAACGAGTGTGGCATGGGAGCTTTAGCGATCCTGAAACAAAGGGAAGCTGCCCACCAAGCTGCTCCAACCACAGACTGGACGAAACTCAACAAAACTTGGACACCTGAAGGCTCTCTGTTGCTACGTGCATTCTTGCAATCGGTCCGGCGTACTCGCCTATTAGCCGTGTCGTCCTTGGGCTTTTGTTGGTTGTCTGACATCTCAGCGACCGGTACTCCAGGCTTATCGGACACTGCAATTGACAATCGCTCAGTTATGTCCTCCCATGGCCGTGGTGACGACGACACACGTGAACTTCTTTGAGTCTCTGGATGTTCTACACGAATGGCCTCACTTAAAGCAGCAAGCGCCTTGGATACATGCTTCACATAGTCCTGCACCATCAACTCCATCGTCTTGACTGCCAAGAACGAGGTCTGCTCCAACACACGAGTCATTTCCTGCTTTTGCAGCGCTAATTTCCTCCTCAACTTCTCTACCTGCATCTGCTCTGGTGTGTTTTCTTCTTCGTTTGGAGCACTGTTGCACGAGTTCTCGTTCTCCTCATTGCTCTCTTCCAAACTGCAGTCCGACGTTTCCGACGACGTCAAGCTGTCACATCGAACTGGGTCCTTTTCCTCCGCATCGTCTTTTAAAACACGCGCATCTAACTGAGCTCGAGCTGCAACAACGAGAGTTCGCGTCTCCTCCAACGACTTTGACAGCTCGTTTCTCATCCGTTCTTGACGCTCTTTCGTGAACTTGAGCGTCCGCAAGATGGGGTTGGCGATATTCACCGTCAACAGACCATGAAATTCGATCAGACCAGATAGTTGGCAGTTAAGCCCCATGCCACCGAAAGTTTTGCTCGAAGCTCGGTCCAGTTTCACAGCTTTGTGTAGGGCCTTTGCCGCTGTCTGTTCGAGTGGAATTAATTGTCTGAATAGTTCGCTCATCCAGCCCGTGATCGCCACGTGACAGTCATATTCTTCCAGAAACGTCTCCCAGGACTCATCGGACACTGCACTAGACTTGTCGCCAGTATTAATTGTCCTAGCTGTTCCAGCATCCTGGTTTAGCTGCTCTTGCAACTGACTGATCAGAGCTGTCAAGGAAGAGATCATACGCTCGTATACGGCGCGAGTCTGATGCAGTACGTCACGAACGTGTGCCTCGTATCGCTGTCCGGAGAAGTGAAGCGCTGTGATCCACTGCTGAATCGCAAGGCGTTCGGTATCTCGCTTGTGGAGGAGCTGATCCCGATGCATCCGATGCAGTTGGAGTTCGCTTTCATCACTCGTCTCCTGTGAGGTTTCACCGTCATTACAGCCTTCACGGAGGTTCTGATACGCCAGGTCGAAGGCCTTTTCTTTCTGCAGGAGTTCGTACAGCTCCGAGAGAAGATGCTGAGCCTTCTCGACGTGGTCGGCAGTGAACGCTTCAAGAGGAGCGATAACTTGATTCATCAGATCCTGAGCGACATTGGTCTTAATCTCGGAGCACTTTTGAACGAAGTTGCCGAAGCCTTGACTGACTCCTTGCAGTTGTGGAATTCGCTGTATCGTTGACTTGAGTACTTCGAATGGGAGCCCTACGTACGTCCTGCCGTACTGCTCTTCGGCCGATTGGAGCTCACGGACGACACCAGCGACCGCCGCTAGATGCTTGATCTGTGCCTCCACGTGTGTCTGCAGCGGGGCAAGCTCGTCGGATACCATGACGCAGTCCTGGTGAGCCGTCAATGCAGAAAGGCAAGTGAAGAACTTTTGTGACTATAAGAAAGGTCTCAACAACATGAGACAGTTAGCGACTGAGGCCTTTTGGCTCGCCAATCAGTTCATTAGTCAGCGAAACGGCCTCAATCCATTCTAACTCCTTCAACTTAGTTGCACTAACCACGTCGCATCAAATTGCCCAGTTGAAAGTAGCCAGAAACTGTTTGTGACCTACACCACAGCCTTCCAGGTCCCAATTACGTGGTCGACGATGTCCTGGACGCCTTTGCCCTGGTTGATCTGCGAGAACACAGTGGGGCCCTCGCCGCGCATGAGCTTCGCGTCGCGATCCATGACGTCCAGATCCGCGCCGACGTGCGGAGCCAGATCGATCTTGTTGATGACCAGTAGATCCGCCTGTGTGATGCCCGGGCCGCCCTTGCGGGGAACTTTATCCCCTCCGGCCACATCAATGACGTAGATGATATAGTCGGCCAGCTCGCGGCTGAAGTTGGCGGCCAAGTTGTCTGTCGGACCCACACAACACAGCACAAGGTCAGTCTCTTTGCATCATCGCTTAACCAACACAGCAATGGCTGATGGTCTTCGCACCTCCTCCAGACTCCACTAGCAACAATTGCGCGTCAAACTCGTCCGTCAGGTCCTCGCACGCTTGAAGATTGGCCGAGATGTCCTCCCGGATTGCAGCGTGTGGGCAGCCGCCCGTCTCAATGGCGCGTATACGCTCTTCGGGCAGTGCGTCGTGGCGCACGAGGAACTCGCCGTCCTCGCGTGTGAAGATATCGTTCGTCACGGCGGCCAGGCTGAATTTGTCCTTGAGCGCACGGCACAGCGCCAGCATGAGCGCCGTCTTGCCACTGCCCACGGGGCCGCCGATGCCCACGGTGAAGGCCCGCTGCGTCCAGTCCCGGCCGGACTTGGCCGCGTCGCGCTCGTGGAACACGCCCGCATGCTCCATGTGCTCGTGCGTGTGCCCGTGTTCGCGCAGCTGCTTCTCCTCATCAGGCGTTGGCGCTCGGCCACGGCTCTGGGTGAAGCGCCGAACCACTTCGTCTCCGTTGATCACGTGCTCGGGTCCGTGTTCATGCGAATGGCCATGATCGTGAGAGTGGCCATGATCGTGAGAGTGATCGTGCGAGTGCGAGTGCGAGTGCTCCATTGCGCTTATCGTCTTGCGGGGTCCAAAGCAGATCGGGAACTGAGCGGATCTTCGACATGCATGCGAGTCATCGCTTCATCGGCCAATCAGAATCTAGACCACTTCAACTCGCACTCAGAATTTGACACGCTTCAAAATGCAGTTTCTATTGAGAGGTAGGGCGTGTTTGGGGTCGTCTACTTTTTGCTGGTCTTCTGCATCACATAGAAAAAGTAGCCCAGACCAATCTCTGCGTGCAGAAGCAGTTGGATAGTTAGTTATCTCTATAAGCAAATGGAGACGAGAAGCGAGCGCACCGATGTTATGGTAGGAGTAGTCCCAGCCGTAGACTGTGCTAGAAGGGGCCTGCTCGCCTTCGCCCAGTAGGAATCGCTTGCGGAAGTGAGGCTGCGCGAACGAGATCTGCACGAAGGTTCCTTGGGGCACCAGTACGGACGTAATGCCACTGCACATGGCGGAGGCCTGTTCGATTACCGCCTCCGATGGCGACCAGACGTCCCCTTCATCGCACATGAGCGCGTCCATGGCGGCCTTGTCGATCACGACGTCGAAACTATTAGGCATGAAGACCTCGCGCAGCTTTGTCATGTCCGCCTCCAGCCATTTCATCTCCGGCATCTCTTCCTGCAACAGTGTTGATGTTGGCCAGTCTTCAATGGGTTGGGATCGCTGACGTTTGCAATACTCACGCTGTACTTGGCACTCATGCGCTCGATGACGACCTTGGAGAAATCGATGTTTGTGATGTTGTGGAAACCCGCTTTGTACTGGCATTACATCAAGTGAGACTCAACACGTAGTGATGGAGCGCAGTAAAGCTCATACCATGTCGATGCTGAACGTCGAGTTGCCACAGCCGACCTGCAGACCAAAGCCACGTCGTCAGTTCCGGTCCTCCTTACACTACCACAGAGACTACGCACCATCAGGATGCGGTCTGACGGACGCACGTACTTGACCAGAAGCTCCGCCACGTTCTCGTAGCGCGCCAGCCAGTCATACGACTCCTCGCTGTTTGGCGTCCAGACATCAGCACGACTGTCAGTCTGTTTCTATACTTGCAAGGCACCAAGGTTTCCACCTGTCGAAGCGCGAGTCCCAGTAGCCCTTCTCCTTGTACGTGCGGTTGTCCTCGGGCAGGTACTCCGTCATCGTCTCTGAAATTGAATGGCGATTGTCAAGCTTAGCACAAGAAAAGGCCGAATGGCAAGGAAGTATGGTATGAATGTTACAATGGACAATTTCAATTTATTGTTTAGTTTTCATGTCGATCAACGCGATCTGCGGCCGGTCATCAGCTCGCAAACGCTGCTTGTGTCTATAACCACTTAGTTTCGAACACTCTGCTTGTACGAGCTCGAGTTTTGCTTCGCTCCGTTCTGCTTGGATTTGTTCTTGTTGCACGGCTTGACAGTCGGTGACGGAGCCGAAGTTGTCGGCGTAGGTGCAGTGGTTGGCGCAGCCGTAGTGACGCCTTG